CCCTACTACCGCCTCTTCCCCTACCGCACTCCGTCCCTCCCCCCACCCCCGCTCTTCTTGGTACGAGGTCCCCCCCCGGTAGACCCCCTTCCCCCTCAGGGTCTTGCCCCTTCAGGTGTGTCCCAGGTAGACGCGGTTGAGCCTGTCGAGGTCACTGGTGACTCTGGTGCTGCTGCGGGTGCTGAGCCTAGGGGTACTGAGACTGGGGGTGCTGTGCCTAGGGGTGCCGAGACTGGGGGTGCTGAGCTTGGGGGTGCAGAGCCTGGGGGTGCTGAGCCTGGGGGTGCTGAGCCTGGGGGTGCTGAGCCTAGGGGTGCTGAGCTTGGGGGTGCTGAGCCTGGGGGTGCTGAGCCTGGGGGTGCTGAGCCTGGAGGTGCTACGCCTGGAGGTGCTTTGCCTGGGGGTGCTGAGCCTGGAGGTTCTTCGCCTGGAGGTTCTCCGGGTGCTTCGTCTCGCCGAGAACCACTCTCCCCACAGGAGCTGCGTGAGTGGTTTGCCCGGCGCTGGAGGCGTGCTGCTGGTGCTGGAGGTTTCTCGGCTGCTGAGGGTGTTGCTGTCGCAGGTCCTGGAGGTGCTCGTACTGGGAGTACTGGAGCTGCTGGGCCTGCGGGTTCGACTGGAGCTGGTGCTGCTGAGGGTGTTGGCGCTGAGACTACCACTGGCGGTCCTGCTGGGGGTGCTCCTAGTGCTGCTGGAGGTTCTGGAGCTGCTGGAGGTGCTGTTGGAGCGGGTGCTCCTGCTGGGGGTACTCGTGCTGTCCCTGCTGTGTCTGGCGTCGCCGCGCGGCCTCGACCGTACTTCGTTCCACTCCTGCAGCAGGTTTTTGGTCTTCCACTTTCTACTGGTCCTCCTCCTCCCTTAGAGGGTCCACAGCCTGTCCTGTCACAGTCGCAGCTACAGCCTGCCTCCCCTTTGCCTGCTTCTTATCCCTACACTAGTCCTACTGGAGGTCTTACTGAGCGTCGTGAGCCTGCGTCTCGTCCTGCGTCGCCTATTCGTACTGCACGCGCTAGTGGTCGCAGTTCGCGTCAGCGTCCTCCTCCTGTCCCTGGCACGCACCGGATGTCACTGCGTCCGTCTATTGCTCCTCTGCGTGCCCCTTTACCTTCTCCTCCTGAGTCCTCTCTTCCTGCTCTTGCCGACCCGGAGTCGGACTCTCTTCGTGCTGCCAGTCCTACTGTCACGCGTTTTCTTGCTACTGTCGTCACTGACCCTTCTTTCGAGTCTTCTGCTGCGTCTGCCCTCGTTACTGAGCTCGTCGACTTTGCTGCTCGCTATCGCCTAGACTACGCTGCTAGTCTTGTCGCTGAGTCTGAGTCTGTCTGTCCTCCGTCCATCGGGGGTGAGTGTGCCCTTGGCACGGACGTCCTCGAGGACAGGCAGGAGGAGTTCCAGTGCCTGGCAGCCGCTTCACCGCATCTCTTGTCCGTACTGCTTACCCCTGAGGGAGACCCGGATGCACTTGACATCCCGACTCCGCGCTCTTACGCGGAGGCGATAGAGGGTCCCTACTCCTCTCAGTGGCAGGCAGCTATGGATGCAGAGATGGCTTCCTGGAAGTCCACATGCACCTACGTTGACGCTGTCCCCCCTCCTGGGGCGAACATCGTTAGTGGCATGTGGATCTTCAGGGTGAAACGGCCGCCGGGTTCTCCGCCTGTCTTCAAGGCGCGTTACGTGGCTCGTGGCTTCAGTCAGCGGCAGGGGGTTGACTACTTTCAGACCTTCTCCCCCACCCCGAAGATGACCACTCTTCGGGTACTGCTGCATGTTGCTGCTCACCGTGACTACGAGCTGCACTCTCTCGACTTCAGCACTGCTTTCTTGCAGGGCAGCCTGCACGAGGAGATCTGGCTGCGCCGCCCACCTGGCTTCACTGGGTCTTTCCCTCCTGGTACCCAGTGGAGTCTCCGGCGTCCAGTCTACGGTCTCCGCCAGGCACCGCGTGAGTGGCACGACACACTGAGGAGTACACTTGCGGCTCTTCGGTTTGCTCCCTCTACTGCAAACCCGTCGCTGTTTCTGCGCACCGACAATTCTTTACCGCCGTTCTACATCCTCGTGTACGTCGACGACTTGGTGTTTGCCACAGCTGACACTGCTGGACTCGCCCACGTGAAGTCCGAGCTGCAGAAGAGACACACGTGCACAGACCTGGGTGAACTGCGCAGCTACCTTGGCTTGCAGATCACCCGGGACAGAGCACGCCGCACCATTACCCTGACTCAGTCACACATGGTGCAGCAGGTCCTTCAGCGCTTCGGCTTCACGTACTCCTCGCCTCAGGCCACTCCTCTGCCTACTCGCCACTCGCTCTCAGCTCTGCCTTCGGATGAGTCCGTAGAGTCGAGTGGTCCGTAACCAGAGCTTGTTGGCTGCCTCATGTACCTGATGACCTGCACACGACCTGACCTTGCATACCCTCTTAGCATTCTCGCACGCTATGTTGCTCCTGGGAGACACAGACCGGAGCACATGGCTGCAGCGAAGAGGGTGTTGCGCTACTTGTGCAGTACGTCGGGCATGGGGCTAGTGCTTGGAGGGCGGAGTCCAGTGGTCCTCACTGGGCACGCGGACGCTTCTTGGGCTGACGACCAGGCTACGCAGCGGTCGTCACAGGGTTACACCTTCAGCCTTGGTTCCGGCTCTGTTTCGTGGCGGGCTACTCGCTCGTCTTCTGTTCTCGGCTCCAGTTGTGAGGCTGAGATCTACGCCGGGGTTATGGCTGCCCAGGAGCTTCGCTGGCTCACCTACCTGCTGACCGACCTTGGAGAGCCGCCTCGTTCTCCTCCAGTCCTGTACGTAGACAACAAGGCTATGCTGGCCTTGTGTCGAGAGCAGCGACTGGAGCACAGGACAAAGCACATTGCTCTCCGCTACTTTCTTGCTCGTGAGCTACAGCAGCGTGGACAGTTGCGGCTTGCGTACGTGGCCTCTGAGGCCAACACTGCTGATGTCTTCACCAAGGCACTTGCGCCTTGTGATCATCAGCGCTTCTGCACTCAGTTGGGTCTTGTGCCTGTCTTACCTCACTTGCTCACTTCTTGACCTTACTTGTATTGTCACATATATATGCTCTTGCTCTTGCTTGCTTATCCTCTTGTATATCTATATAGGTGATCTTGCATGTGAACTGGCTTTTTGGCCTTTGAACTTGTGCTCGGAATGTGTGGTGACTTTGTGATCCACCCTGAGCTTTGCCTTGCTTTGCTTGACTGGTCTTGTGACCCCTTGTTCTCCCCCACTCTGCCTATGGGGGTGTGTCAGAACATTATAGCTTACTTATTTGTGTAGGCTCTAGTGGGGTATCCCATATGGGGTACAACCCAATTAGGGTTTCCTATATGTACTCAGTTCATTCATAGTCATTTTATTCTCGTTCTCATTCTTACATCCGCCGACGTAACGGTCCACCCGCTCCGCCTCGTGCATGTAGCCGACTTGCTCGCACTGAGCGAGAAAACCGTTGGTGTAGTCTTGGACCGACCCAAGCTGTCGCCAAGTATGTAGTTTCTGACGCGCCGAAATAGAAGCCACGATCGGCTCGAAGCGCGCCCGAAGCCCTGCGCACCACGCATCCCACGTGCTGCAGTGAGCGGTTTCCCAGAACGAACTCCAGGTGACGGCTGGACCTGTGGGCTCTTCCTCTTGCGTCGGCGGCTCGTAGGCGCGTGGCAACGTCACGATGACTCGCCCCCAGTCCATCGCGGGGCCTCTTAGCAGAATAACAACGTACCAGATCTTCGTTGCGTCCGACTCGACGTAATTCGCGTCGAAAAAACCGTTCATCGTGAAAACCCACGATTGAACCGTCAGACCCCCACGTTAGCCCGGGTCGAAACAAGGCGGGCGCTGCGGTTTGAGCGGCATCGGAGCGACAATGTCGTTGATGCCGATTGTTGCCGTAAATTCAACGTGAGGACGAGCTTCGCGAGGCCCGCTCGTGCTTGGTACAGCATTGTTCCTCGCCATGCCATGCATTGATTGCGCGGCGCCATCTCTGGCTGCGCTTGAGCGCTGTCCCATGCTGTCATGTTATGACAGTGTGATGGACAAAATAATAATTGGCTCCTCCGATTGCGCATGTGCATTTGCATATGCTTGTGATGGTGCTGGTGCATTCACCTTTGATTGCTGGTGGGCGGAGTCACGTTCTGTCGTGAGTGTCGCGATTTCGAGCGCTGAATCCTCGAGCCGGCGGACGAGCCGGTCGAGTTGCTCCTGCGTCAACGTCGCGAGAGAGAGGTCGGCCATGGCAGGGGTGTCGGGCAAGCTCAGCGAGAGCCTCAGTCGTGGCTGTGCGTGCTTTCGAGAGAGCACTTCGAATGGCGGTGCTTGGATGCTGAGAGACGTTTACCCACTCCAAAAATTGAGATAGTGGGGAAGCGAAGGTGTGGGTGCGGCCCGAGAAGAGACCGTAGGCTCTGAATACCAAGTGTTACCGTACGAGTGCAATTGAGCGAGCGAGCGAGAATTGCACTATCGAAGCAAAACAATACATAAGGCATGAGCGAAGAATATATAGCGAAGCTAGTGTGGTAACGGTAACGCGAGAAATGGGGTGCGCTACGGCAGGAATGGTCATGTACGCGGTAGGCAGGGACGCGAAGTAAGGAAAAGGAAATTTCCTTACAATACCATGAGAAATACTGAAACAAAACCTACCCTCACCCCTCTACGTGTCTTCTGTAATTATTAATTATATAGAAGGCCAATTGGGCAGTACAATGACTAAGAATGGACAAATAATGTAGAAACGAACAGTGTGCACGAAAATATTCACTAACTAAAATCAGTTGGTTAGCATCAAAAGCCAGTCTAGCAAGTCTCGAGATAAATGACATCCCTGCAAGAATCACACACACAGGAATCTTCAAATCAAAAGAACATGTTGTACGCTCGATCGCAACACAGGTCTCGTTTGATTTATGACCTCATTATTAACCATATATTTCATGCATCCGAATGAAGTCAAGTCATGCTGTGCATGCATACCTGCACTAGGCCTTGGTGTTGGCAGATGACCGGCGCGGCAGATTCCAGGTGCTGACAGCCTTATCCATTCCCTCTGCTGCCACCAACCGGACTGCATCAACTGCCCGCTCTATAGCCACATCCACCTGTGTCACGGGTCATAGACCACAAATGGGTTTGCACGCAAAGAAACCATCTTACTGTAAATCATGAGATGTTCAAGTGAAATTCAGCTTCACTTACTCGTTTGTAGAACTACTGCAGTTTAATCACCTTGGGATGAGTCGTATCACAACTTCCACTTTTGAGGAGTCTCAGAACAGAGTAAGAAACCTTCGTTTCACATACCACCTTCTCCACTCACCTCGTCTCTCTCCCTATCTGAGAACTTCTGCAGCACATACACCTTGGCCTCCATGCGCCCAGGCGGCCTCCCAATGCCTGCGCGTAAACGATGTGGAAGGAATGAACTGGTGTTTAAGTTGACTTAGAAACCTCTCCCTGTGTGAGAACGTCTGCAGCACATGCACCTTGGCCTCCATGCGTCCTGGCTGCCTCCCAATGCCTGCATGCAAACCCCAAGGAGGGAATGAGCCAGATGACAAGACGACTCAGAAATCCCTCCTTGTGTGGCAACTGCTGCAGCACATACACCTTAACATCCATGTGCCCTGGCGGCCTCCGAGTGCCTGCATGCAAAACACATGTGATGAGCGGGTTTTTAAGGCGACTCAGAAATCTCTCCCTGCTGAGGAACGTCTGCAGCACATACATCTGGACCTCCATGCGTTCTGGCAGCCTCCCGATGCCTGCATGCAGGGATAATGGCATCAGCATGACGCCACCCATGCCATCATGCACCTCACACAATTATGTTGCACATTAAGAAGATCTGTCAACCAGCAAGGGAGTGCAAAGGTGTAGGCGTTTAGAGCACTAGCTCACATGGCAATGGGCAGGTCACAAGGCAACGGGCAGGTCACAAGGCAACGGGCAGGTCACAAGGCAACGGGCAGGTCACAAGGCAACGGGCAGCTCACAAGGCAACGGGCAGGTCACAAGGCAACGGGCAGCTCACAAGGCAACGGGCAGGTCACAAGGCAACGGGCAGGTCACAAGGCAACGGGCAGGTCACAAGGCAACGGGCAGGTCACAAGGCAACGGGCAGCTCACAAGGCAACGGGCAGGTCACAAGGCAACGGGCAGCTCACAAGGCAGCGGGCAGCTCACAAGGCAACGGGCAGGTCACAAGGCAACGGGCAGCTCACAAGGCAACGGGCAGGTCACAAGGCAACGGGCAGGTCACAAGGCAACGGGCAGGTCACAAGGCAACGGGCAGGTCACAAGGCAACGGGCAGGTCACAAGGCAACGGGCAGGTCACAAGGCAACGGGCAGGTCACAAGGCAACGGGCAGGTCACAAGGCAACGGGCAGGTCACAAGGCAACGGGCAGCTCACAAGGCAACGGGCAGGTCACAAGGCAACGGGCAGGTCACATGGCAACGGGCAGGTCACAAGGCAACGGGCAGGTCACAAGGCAACGGGCAGGTCACATGGCAACGGGCAGGTCACATGGCAACGGGCAGGTCACATGGCAACGGGCAGGTCACAAGGCAACGGGCAGGTCACATGGCAACGGGCAGGTCACATGGCAACGGGCAGGTCACATGGCAACGGGCAGGTCACATGGCAACGGGCAGGTCACATGGCAACGGGCAGGTCACATGGCAACAGAGCAGCAAATGGCCAAATTCACTTCCGCAACTGACCAGATCAATATCTCCACTGACCAGATCAATATCTCCACTGACCGAATCTTAGGCGGGGAAAGTTTCTCGAGCCCTGAAAGTGCTGCATAATGCTCTTCATTCTGGAAAGGGGATGGCAAGATGGGCCATGAGGGAATGGGAATGGTCAGCGGAATGGCAATGGAGACGTTTTACGATTGCTCAACCATGGGCAGTAGGGAAGGCAGAGGGAGGATGAGGGGAGGTTACAAGGAGAAGGCACACGGAATGATGGTGATGATGATGGTGACAAGACGATAAAGTCAACGAGACAGGGAAGGCAGAGGGATGTGAAATACTCCCAATCCTTTCAGTGATGCTTAGCTTGGAGACGTCTCAAAACACTGTCACTGAAAGGGACGGCAGAGGTACTTCAAGATTGGGGGAGTGAGTGAGTGCCCTTCATCCTTCCACCAGTCCTGTGTCTCACTAAGTGACCTCCTCCTCCTGCACTCACCCATTGTGTCCCCCGTGCCCGCCTTTGGCAAGAAGCTTCATGGAAGCTACGTCCAGGTCCATGTCATCGTAGATCTGAAGAACGGGGTGGCAGAAGAAAGAGGATTGCAGGTTTTGTCATGGTTAAGGGGTTTGGGTTTAAGATGGTAATGATTGGCGATATGGCATGGCATGAAATGGCAGGACACAGCACAGGTGTAAAATGGGCATGGCTTACAACACAGCACAGCATGGCATGGCATGGCATGGCATGATTTACAAAAGGGCACTGCATGGCAAGAGATGGGACAGGATATGACTTACAGCCACGACTCGTTCGGGTGGAATCTTGTAGAACCGAGCCAAGGGTCCCACCTGCAATGGGTTGCGGTGGTGTGGGGTGCGGTGGTATGGTTTGCGGTGGTATTTGGAGCGGTGGTCTGGGGTTGGTATGGGATGTGGTAAAGCTTGTGGCGCGCATCATGGGGCATGGATATAATCATGATGGTATGCTGGGGCATGGTTGACGTGGCATGGCATGATGTGACATGGTGACGATTTTCCCATTTGGTCAGGAGCATGTATGTATGGCTTCACCAACAGCACTTCAAGCTTCCGCTATCAATCAGGCACCATCGAAATTCCCTCCGTACCACCCATCCATCCCCATCCCCTACTCACGCTCTCCCCGCTGAGGTTCATGAACGTCTGTGGCTTCACCAGCAGCACGGGGCACCCGGAAATACGCCCCTTGCCCACCACGGCCTTGCTCTGCATGGCGCTCAGGCTTATGCCCTCCGCCCTGGCTATGGCGTCTATCACCTCAAAACCCACCTGAAGCAGGGAGAGGGGGGGTCGGGACGTGATAGGGGGAGGAATAGCTGAGGGGTGTGGAATAGCTAAGGGGCGTCCCTTGCCCACCGCCACTGTGCTCTGCATGGCAGTCAGCGATAAGCCTTCTGTGCGGCTATGGCGTCTATCACCTCGAAACCCACCTGGTGGGGAGAAGAACAGGAGAGAAGGTGGAGGGCATGGGGTTTAGGGGGCGGAAGGTGAAGAGGGATATGCAAGGCACCCCTCGCCCACCACAGCCTTGCTCCGCATGGCATTGAGCAGTATCCCCTCCGCAGACACGTGCAATGGCGTCTATCACCTCCGCACGTGCAATGGCGTCTATCACCTCCGCACGCACGTGCAATGGCGTCTATCACCTCCGCACGCACGTGCAATGGCGTCTATCACCTCCGCACGCACGTGCAATGGCGTCTATCACCTCCGCACGCACGTGCAATGGCGTCTATCACCTCCGCACGCACGTGCAATGGCGTCTATCACCTCCGCACGCACGTGCAATGGCGTCGATCACCTCAAAGCCCGCCTGACTTTTGAGGCGCCTCAAAAGGCGTCGATCACCTCAAAGCCCGCCTGATGGGAGAGAAGCAGGAGCGGGAGGGGGGTGGGAGGAGGGATAGTGGGAGGAAGAAGAGAAGAGAAGAGAAGGGTGTGCAGTGCGTCCCTTGCCCACCACACCACAGCACCACCCTGCTCTGCATGGCAGTGAGAAATATGCCCTCCGCCCTCCGCCCTGGCTATGGCGCCTATCACCTCGCAGGCAGCCCACCTGGTGGGGGGGGAAGCGACTGGAAGCTCGATGGCCACCGGATGGGAGGCAGGAGAGAGGGGCAGGAAGAGGGGCAGGGAGTGGGGCAGGGAGGGGGGAAAGGAGGGGGCCCAGGGAGGGGGCCAGGGAGGGGGCAGGGAGGGGAGCAGGGAGGGAAGCAGAGAGGGAAGCAGGGAGGGGAGCAGGGAGGGGAGCAGGGAGGGGAGCAGGGAGGGGAGCAGGGGGGGGAGCAGGGAGGGAAGCAGGGAGGGGAGCAGGGAGGGAAGCAGGGAGGGGAGCAGGGAGGGGAGCAGGGAGGCGGGAAGCGTAGTAGAGGGCATGCGGTGCGCCCCTTATTCTCGAAGCCTACTTGGTGGGAGTCGAAGAAGGTTACGGGGGTGGGGTTTGGGGTGGGAGAGGGTGAGGGGAAGAGCAGAGAGGGATATGCATGCATCGAGCCTTTGTGTGTTTCCAGGGGCCTTAGCAACACACCCACTGCTGTTGTTGTGATTGGTGTGTGGGAGTTAAGGGAGAAAGAAGCAGTGCAGTGACAAAGGATCGGCGAGCTTTGAGTGGGCTGGGGTGGGAGGCGCGCAGATAAGGGAGAAGTCCCCAAAAGGAAAGGCTGGCCACAGATTTACCTGAACCACCAGAGTCCCCAACCAGAGCTGGTTTCTCCAGGGTTTAGCTCAAACGATACACCTTTTCAAACCCCCAAATCCAAACACTGAACCCTGAACCCTTAAATCTGAACTTTCGTACACTCCCTACCTTCCTTTCCCTTCCCTTCCCCTTTCCCTCATCTTTCAATATCCAGAGACGCCTTTAAACCACCGCAAGCACAAATCTGGTCCCCAATTTTCTCAAACACAACACCTGACGCGCTGTTCCCCCTCACCCCCTCAGCCGCTCCCCATTTGTTTCTTTCCCCCCCCCTTCAGCCTCTCTCTTTTTGTTTCCTTCCCCCCTTAGCCCCTTCCGTATTGTTGCCCCCACCCCCCTTCTCAGAAACTCCCATTTTGTTTCCCTCCTTCCCCCTCCTCCCGTTTTTGTTTTCTTTGGTTCCTACCTTAAAGCCTTCACAGGCCAGCCCCATGCACCCAGCAACGCACATCGCGCCGCAACCCCTCAGACCTCTTTCGTTCCTCCCAGGATTCCCAGCACCACAAGCACCCATGGCACAAGGTGCTGGTCTGTGGATTTTTGAGGCGCCTCAAAAAAAGCACCACAAGCACCCATGGCACAAGGTGCTGGTCTGTGAGAAGTGTAAGAAAGGCCCGCTACGGGAGAAGTTGTCCCGTGCACCCAGCAACGTACGTTGTGGCGCGTGCCCTCGTATTTCATCCCAGGATTCCCCAGCCCCACCAGCATCCACGGCCCGTCCCGCCCCGCATCCCCGCCCTTGCTCCGCCCGCCCTGCGCCCCCGCGGACTCCCCCGCCGCCTCCCCTGCCGCGCTGGTCGTGGCGGCTCTCCGCTTGCCGACGCGGAAGGGCTCCGCGCCGTCTGACGTGGATCGCTTCATGAATGATGTGGCATATTTGGTAAGCGCGAAACTGGCCGATAAAGCGTTGGCGTTCTGAGAGCAGCGGAGAACGGAGAGGCTTGACACTGCTCTGTGCGCAACGGCGGATGGGAAGGGGGCGCGCGGAAGGGACTCGCGGAAAGGCCACGCGCGCATTCCTAGTCCTAGAGACGTTTCTGAAACCGAAGCCCCTGTGCGCACTCCCGCCAGAAAGGCGCGCGGGGCCGCCTTGAGAGGTGCGGCTGCGCTTGGCGCGCAACAGGCTCGAAGCGCACTCATGGACCAGGTCTCTCTCTATTGACTAGACAAAACCACGCTTCTGTGAGGGGTGTTGGGAGGGTACTGCATTCAACGCAACGTCACCGAGTTCAAACCATCTCTACCGCGTTCTAACCAGGCTTGATGCATTCTTGGAAACAGATTACGCTACACTTTCAGTGCATGATGGAATTTACATAGCGTATGAGATTACTTGACTACAACGGAGATTACTCTATACTGCAATGAGGTCATCCTATGAAAGATAAAGTTTTGTTCCCATTTCCACGCGGTGTCCATCCAGCACGTGTGAGAGTCGCCAGGCATGATACGATTCTGTGAAGCCGTGTGTGTGGAGGGAAAGGCTATGTACACACGAGGGAATGTGGCGGCTTTTTGTGTCGTGTCCCGCTCGACCTCCCTCCGAACAGCTGTTTTTTTCCACAACGGCGGGCTGTCAGGTACTGGTCCGGCAAATGTATTCGAAGCACAGTACACCCTCTTTCTCGCTACACTGAACTGTGCCGAACTGGTGGAAAACCTTGTTATCTTTGATTTGTCTGATTGAACCGTACTGATACTTAATTTAACCACCGTTAACCGCGCTTTTCCCATCTTGACTTCACTATAACCAAATTCACAACGGCGAGAAAGAGGGTGTACATAGAATTATATGGTTTATGCTCTGTGTTTTCCAGCCGGTCTGATTTAGAAACATTAGTCAATGAGACAGTGCTAAAAAAGAAATTATCATATCTCAAAAGCCCTCAATTTCTCGATGCTAATAATTGTACAAAAAGACCATTCAAATGATTCACTTTTGCTTCCACCCTGCTTCTATGCTGACTGTGCTGGTTGTTTTTCACCTAGCCATTTATGACTTTCCTCCGCAACTCAGCGGGTGGAGAAAGTGGATGGAGAAACGAATTTATACAGGCTGAAGAGGCAGAGTGCTTATATTTGGGTAATATGTATAAGTTTTCCAAGTATGGGTTAATGAGTTTCAGAAAACAAAGCACAAATTGAAGTCACGGCCGCAATTACGCCATAAATATGTGAACCTCAGGGAGTGCCCCTCAGGAGGTGGTGCAGATTGGGGCAATCTGTCTTAATCGGAAGATTTCGGAAGCCCCAGGGCCTTTTCAGCCAATCGGGGCAATCTCTCGATCGCGATCGATCGCTTCAATCCGATACAATCTAATGCGATCTACTGCAATGTATCGATTGCTTCAGATCGGACCGCCTGGCGATTAATAACAAATTTCGATTCTACTCGCAGCAACATTGTGTGGCGAGCCACGCGTCTGACGAAACAGGGCTACGCTGTAATCGCGCGGTACCAAGATTCGCTAGGTCTCGCAAACATTGTGTCGAAGGGACGTCTGCCTAGCCTGGAGCCCGCTTTGCTGGTTCTGACACTTTCTCCAGAATTCTTCTGTCAGATCGCGCGACGCGGGACGCGATCGAGAGATTGCGTTAGATCGGGGCAACATTGAACACTCGGGCTTGTACCAAAACGTACTCGCTCGCTGATCTGCTCTGGCGATCGTAGCACACACTGACGAGAGTTGTGATTCCAATTAACCAGGTAAACATTGGCTTGCTAAATGACAGTTCGTGTATTTCCTTCTAAATCAGAAGCCGAAACCTGGGCCCCGACTCTAGGCGTGTTGCAATTGCCGGTGCACTGCATCGGCTCGGGAAGTCTGGAAGGTGTCAGGCAGGCGGTAAGCCAAACCCGGGCACTGACTAGGGAAAGAAAAGTTTCAAGATTGAGATTTAAAGAGTTATTTGTCAAGGCTATATTAGGATGATATTTTTTTGCGCGTTTCCTGTAAAAATTCTACGGCCTCTTGCTCTCCTAGAGCCTTCCTAAACACGTGCCTCCGAGCCGAGCCGATGCAGTGCACCGCGAATTGCAACACGCCGTTAGGAATACACCCTGTTTCGCGCTAGCAGAGCATCTGGTTGCAGAACATGCACTGGTTGTAGAACGTCACCACGTTTGAAATGGTCTTATCACCGACGGTACAAGCACATTCACAAGAAAGCGGTTAGCTAGGATGCTGCATGGTAAAGAACATTAAACAAGCGTTTCAAAGCGGTTGAAAAGGGTATACAGCGATAAAGAAAAATTTTGCCCCCAGTACCACTCCGTCAGCTGGTGCGGCTTTGCCCGCAGGTTTCAGCCATACGGTTTATGGCACCTGACCGCACTGTAGCAGCGAATCGCGCAAGGTGAGAGGGTCGAGAAACAGGGTGTAACACTTTTGGAAATTCTACATAGCTTACAAAATGGTCCTCATTCCAGCCATCCATGCCACCCGTGAACGCTGGCAGGTGCGCTGGTGCTGGTGGCGAAAATCCGCCCCGCCGATGCCACCGAATTTGGTTGCAGGGCAGAACCTCGGTAAAATCGCTCCGCCTAGCTCCGTCGCTTGCAAGTGTCAGTCTCTGTCGGGACTCAAGACTTCAGATTCGGGCAGAAACTCCGCAGCGTGCTTCTCGCTGAGGCGGTGGTGGTGAATCTTGATTGAGCGGTGCTGTTCGGTTGGTGGGTCGTTTCTCGCAAAGCTCCCTCCCTCCCAACCCAAACCAAATCAACCTTGGAGTTGGTTTCGTTCAATGAATGCTCTTGGCTTTGCGTTGCCCTCCTGGTTCTTCGATTAGGGTTTGGTTGGTAGCCATGGTGGTTGTGCCACAAATCCAAGACCCATTCTTGCTCCGCTTATTTCGCTGAGTGGAGGTCTTTCATTCATCGTACTCTAGAGTTTCTAAAGAGTTGATATACTATTTGACTGATTTGTACTCATTATTTATCTACATTGTTTGTCGAGGCCCAATGGCTCCAGACATTCGCGCGGTTGCGGGATGGGGTCAGCGCCTAGCTCTCGCACTCAAACGTTCCTCGCAACGCCTCCCGCGCTTCCGCCGAGACGCCGCGCAAGACGGTGAAGTCTCCGCTGACGCAGACGCAAAACCGCCAAGCCCCAGTCCACCCGCGCAGGCGGCATCTGCGCCGTCCGGATCCGGCGGAAAGGTTCCGCGAAGCGCGGGCAAGGCGGCACCGGGGAAGGGGAAAGGGATCGGGAAGGTGCAACCATGGGTGGTGCTGCAGCGACAATGGCTTACGATCTTCCTCGTGGCATGGCTGTTGGGCGGCCTAGCTCTTGCCACGTGGACCGTGCTGTATTCACACAGCGCGCTGCAGGACGAGCGGTACTCGAGCCTGCTGACGTGGTGCGGTGAACGCGCGCGCTCGCTCGTGCATCAGTTTCGGTCGTCGAGCGACCATGCGATGGTGAGTCGCAATCGTCAGACATTCTAGTAATCGTCTCTGTAACAATGCTGCGTTTCTTTTCCGTACGATTCGGTCTTAGATCTGTTTTCGTGCTCTGGCATCTTTCGTTGAGCCTGCTTTTCCCAACGGGTAGAATGGATTAGCGGTTCCTCTTTCTAGCCTGAAATGAGCGTGCCGTTGACGGCGTGGATTGCGACCGGGGAGGTTGCGAGACGGACTGCGATGGGAGTCTGTGCTACGAAATTCGATGGGTATCTGTGCGAGGAATGGCGATGGCTATTTGTGCGACAGACGGCGACGGAATATGCGGTTGAATCAATCAATGCGCGACATTACGACGCCATGTGAGATCTGGTGGTTGTTGCCGTCACCATTCTCGCCTTCGCCGTCGCCGTCGTTGTCGTCGCTCGTACGCTCGGGTGCATTCATCGTAGCTACAGTATGTCTGGCGCTACGACTACTATCGCCGCTTGCTACTACGCATGGGGTTTCGCCCGCGACAACGTCGTACGGCGTTGTTACAATGTCGCACGGCCTTGATTCACCGTCCCACGGCTTCGCTAAATCGTCGCAAGGCCTTTCGGAAATGTCGCGCAACGCCATCGTTCGCGTTGGTCTCGCAATCTCTTCGGATTCGCCTTTCTCCTCTGTAGAACGTCCCATGGCTTGTCGACGTCCGTCAAGCTCGAGTCTCGCTCCTTGGGTCTTGCTGTTGCATTCTCTCCGTTCCAGTCTCGTTGCTAGCAACTCAAGATGTCGTTCCTCTCATTGACCGCCGTCGCAAGTCGTCACAAGGCCGACGCACGCTTTCTACGGGTAACGCAGCATGCCAATGTCGCAAGCCACCTACGACGCTCCCTCCTCTCCTCCCCCCCCCCCCCCCCCCTCCTCTCCCACCCTCCCTCCCGCGGGTCGTTCCCGGCCTCGTGAACGCGGCCGTGGAAGCGGCGCATGGCAACGCGCAGGACTGCGGCCGCGCTGCTTCACGCGCTTCTCTCCGCGGGATGCTGTCTGACCCCCTGCCCTCCCGCCGCAGGCATATGTTGATTTTTTTTTTTTTTTGCTCCCGTGTGGCGCCGTAGAGCGCAACTTTTGAGGCGCCGCGACGAAGAATCCCGTCTGTCTGATCGCCTTTACCTCGCGCGTCGCACGCGTATTCAAGATCTTTCTCGCTCCCGTGTGGCGCCGTAGAGCGCAACTTCTCCCTTCCTCTTTTCCGCTTCCCCTTCCCGCCCGCAGGTTTTCACAGGCTTGGTGGTTGTGTTAGGCGAGACGGCGGACGGCAACCCGTGGGGGTATGGCAGCTGCATCACGGCTGATCGCGCCTCATTGTGCCTTCAATTCTCACTCCCCTTTCCCCTTCCCCCTTCCCTTTCTCCCCTTCCCCTCTGCAGGTATTCACGGGGCTGGTAGACGTGTTCGGCGAGACGGCGGACGGCAACCCGTGGGGGTACGGCAGCTGCATCACGCGCTAATCGCGCCTCATGATGCCTTCCTATCCCCCTTCCCCCTTCCCTCTTCCCCCTTCCCCATTCCACCTGCCGCCCGCAGGTATTCACGGGGCTGGTCGACGTGTTCGGCGAGGCGGCGGACGGCA